CAAGGGGATAGTTTGCGCCGCTAACTAGATCTCTAGGGGCGAACCACGAGCTAACTATGTGATGTTTTGGATTGCGTCCAGCAGGTGACACTACTTGTCGCGAAGCGCGAATTGAAACATTTTTTCCGGGTTAATACTGTAATTCTAGTTCTACACGCCTTATAGAAATAGTAGAGAAAAAATTGAACTATTATTGTTAAGAAAAAATAAAATTATTGTAAGAATCCGAAAAAAAATTGATACAACCTATAAAAAATCGAGTGTGTATTTACCGTAAGCAGAACGGTATTTTGAGGCTGTAAATTTTTTTTCCAATTTATTTGGATTTCTTATTTATATGATGTTTTATATAATGGTAATAGTAGTAAATATTCTTTATTACACGTATTAATAAATTACTGCAGTTAATATGCGACCACCGAGATATATGAATTATTATGAATAAAAAACTTTGGCTGAATAATTTTTTTTATATTTGAAATCATACTGGACATAAAATTGGGTACTTTATAAATAAATTTTAATAATAATAGTGCTATCACTAGATTAATTACAAATAATTCGATGGACAAATGTGACCGACCAAATTTATTGAATTAGAAAACTATTAAACACTCTTCCGAAAATTTGATATAATAAATTTACCGTAAAAAATTGTAAAACCAAAAGTCATTCATTCTTATCAAGACCTTTATAATGATACCAAACTAAACCATAAATATTCTTTAAAAAAAAATAATATGCTTGTCACAAAAATTTCTTTTCTCTCTTAATTGTAAGTCATAAATAACTATCGCTAAGAAATATATACATTTACATACATGAAACACAGTAGGGGGGAACCAAATAACCAAATGATAGCTTTGTCTGAAAAAATTCATTTATTTATGAATTTTTAATATTGCGCGGAAAAAGTTCAAATTTTGAGTTAAAAATGTACAAGTATTTTATGAATACAACAAATTTTATAGAACAAATTATCATACAATCTTCCATGTGTATGTTTGAAAAATATTTTTTTAATTAATTTTCTTTATTAACCAGTCTAAATACACAACAGACTGAACATTGTTTGAGTCCTACTTTCTTCGGATAAATCAGCTGTTTAGTGTCCGGGGAATTCTCATTGAAAATAGTGTGCATACTATAATCTCATGGTTGTTGCCTGTAGATGGCACTATCGTCAATTGAGCGGGTTTCAAATAATCTTAATCTCTTGAAAATACGTAACACAATTATGTGTTTGATACATTGAGTCACATACTAACAACAATATCATAATAACAATAAATAATATTGATAATAATAATAATAATATTTATTGACATTTAGCTAAAGCTATCTATACATCAATCGTCTACAATATGTTCAGTTTACACATTTATTTACATTTAAAATCATTAATTAGTATTTATAATTTCTTTTGAAGTAATCTTAGCTTATTTACAATATTTATAACATCTCATACATTCAATTTATTCAATTAGATTTTATCAAAATATCCAAATAATAATCTAATCTCCTTTTTTAATAGAATTTTAAACACATTTATACGATCCTCATTTTTTGTTTCTTCAGATAATTTGTTGTACCATAGATACCCTTTGTATACAATAGTTTTTTCTGCTGTATGTGTACGCGTATGCAATATTTGTAACTCTGATTGTCCTCTAGTGTTATAGTTATTTTTACATATTTTAATTTCATCGCTTAAGTAAGTTGGACAGAGTTTATTTTTCATTTTATGTATAAGTAAACAGGTGTTATAGATTACTCTTTGTCTTACAGACATCCAGCCTAGGGTTTCTAACATCAGTGTTAGATTCGTATACTTGTTGACACATAATATTGCACGCATCGCTCGATTTTGTAGCTTTTGTAAAATGCTGAGTTTGTCGTCTGTATAATTAATCATTAACGTATTACAGTATTCATAATGTGGAAAAACTATTGTATTATAAATTAAACATTTAGCATAATTACCTACGGAGTATCTTAATCTATTGATTACATTAATTTTTTTGGCAATTTTTTGACTAGTATAATGTGCATTGCTTTTAAAATTCAAATTATCGTCGATCATTACTCCTAAATATTTCGTTTCTTTTACATACTTAATTTCTATATCATTTATAAATAATTTACATTTATTCCTTATATTTTTATGCCTTTGATCATGGATAGTCATATGTACAGTTTTATTTACATTTATTTTTAATTGATATTTGTTTAACCAGTTAAATAGTATTTGAAGGTTCATATTTAATTTTCTTTCAATTTCTTTTAAATTTTTACCACTCACCGCAATTCTCATATCATCAGCAAATAAAGCACAATTAATCCCCCTTCTACTTAATATTATTATAATTTCATTAATATAAAGTAAAAACAGCAAAGGACCTAATTTGGACCCTTGTGGTACTCCAAATTTAACTTCACTTTCCTCAGATATGTTATCCTGAAACTTCACTCTTTGCTTTCTTTTACTTAGATAAGATTTGAACCAACTCAGTACTGCACCACATATTCCCAGCTCATATAATAAATCTAAAAGTATTTCACGATTTACCGTTTCAAAGGCACGGGCAAGATCGATAAACACCACACCAATATATAGCCCTTTATCAAGATCTTTTCTCCATCTTATGATAGAGTATTGTAGAGCCGACTCACATGAATGGTTTTTTCTAAATCCTGATTGGGCAGGATTAAGAACATTATTTTCATCGACAAATTTATTTAATTGCATTTTAACAATCTCTTCTAATATTTGCTCATATACTGGTAAGGTGTTTATCGGTCTAAGGTCTTCTATTCTATTACTTCCGACTACTTTTAGTATAGGAATTATGGTAGATACTTTCCATTTACACGATACTAGTCCC